CATAGTACAAAAGTTCATAAACATCCATAATAGTTCCTGGAGTATCCACCACACATCATATGTATGTGCCAACCACTCTTATGACTGGCATATCTCTCTTTAACAACTCCACCTCAGCTTCCAGGCATCATATCATCAGATCATTCCTTCATCATGCTCCTTGGTAATCATATGTCATTTGAAAAAGATGGGAATAGCCTCCAATGGTACAGTAACCAAACCAGCCACAATTTATTAATAAAAAGCCACTTACAAAATAAAAATCATATCAAGCTCATCTCATATGGAAAATGGTGTATCAGCTATCTCACCACCTCTGGAACCAGAGCACACCCACGACGACACTTCATTACGGTATGGACGTCACTTGTGGTCGCGTAAACACGCTCCGATGCATTTCGTCACTGCTGACTTCGTCACAGGGGTTAGTTACATGCCGCAGCAACCCAACTCCCTAGAAAAAGTTAATTGGTTCCTTTCCAACAAAAATGCATTGGGTGCATTGGAGAGGCTAAAATGTCATGCTGCTTCTTTGCAGAGGTGCAGTTAATCCCATATTAGCCAGCTTGTCCATCTGTATATTTAACCACGTATATGCTGCACTAAAATGCAAAACAACAATAATACAAAAATTTGGGTAAGTCTAGTAATATCAACCATACTACTTCAGGATTCCAAATTAATCAAAAATCACTGTAGGAGAGGGTATATTGGTCAAAATAAAGCATACATAACAAAAAACTAAAATCGCTAACAGTTATAAATATATAAATCACTAAAAATTTGTATAACATAAAATCGATCTTATGTAGCATAAAGTTTTCCATCTTATACATATAGTATGAATTTAAAAAAATTATTATTTTTTAACATGTACATATAGAAATCAATATATATCTCAAAACCTGCTATAGACTCTATCTAATTCTACCACATTAATAATCACCGATTAAAACAATTTAAGTTTCCAGTTCTATATTCAAACCTTCAGGTGCTAACGTGCATTGGGTGTAAATTCCTTTTGTTTCCCTCTTGCAGAGGTCCCTCAACCTATTGGAACCAATCCTAGAGGGGTACACCCTATCCACTCGGCAAAATTGCAAGCCAGATGGGTCTTTGTTGTTAAACACTATATGCCTTCCCTTAGTTTAGAGGGGTTTTTTTTTGGAGCATATGTGCAACTTGAATCATCCCCAAGGAAGCAGCTACAACTTTTTCTTTATAGATTTAGTTATTCTATGTAGACTGTTGTAACAAAAGGATAAAATATTGTGTGTGTTATGCTCAAGTAGGTGGGAGAAAATTAAGAGAAATGGATGATACAAGAAGAGAGTAATTGCAGTAAGTAATCACAAAGACTGAAAAGGAGAAAAGAATTGCACAGAAAATTAAGAAGAATAAAACAATTGGGAGTAGCCACGAGCATCTGAAACTATTATCGCTATAATTACCATGGAAGATCATTATTCTATAAAAACAATGAACTAAAGACTGTTAAAACCCGGTGGTTCCTTAACTTTAGTTATTTCCAGGTGAAGATAAATTCTGCTTGGGAATCTTTTTAATCACTTGAGTCCTAGCCTGTATATACCCCTTCGATACTGGCCATGTTTCAGTTTTAGGTGCTGTGATAGGTTGTAAGTAAATATAAATGGCGCCACAGAAAGGATATAACTCTCACTAAACCCGTATCAAAAATAAAATAATTAAAATATTACTTCTATACTCTACCAGCTGCAAAAATCCACCCTATAACCATAAGGTGTACAAACAATGAAACAAACAATTTGCGCTAGTAAATAAAACACCACCAAAATATATCAGAAAAGAAAAAATTTATATGATTTATGGGACATTTTTCACATTTTTTTAAAAGTCCCATAAAAGTAACTCTTAATTGGTGTGATCAAGAAAAAAAGTTTTTTTTATATAAACGAAATCCGCCAAAAAAACAGTGTCAATCCACCACCAAATAAACTAAATAAACTCACCAGAGCTATATGCTGATATTATAAATCAGCATAAAGCGCTTTTTGCTCTGGGAGCGATGGTCAGCAGACTGATGAGACAATACTTGGCTTTAGGCACGATATCCAGGGATCTATACTCTGCAACAGCCACTGTTTGGCTTGAAAATCGATATCCAAGGAGCAATACTCTGCAGTAGGATGTGTTACTAGATAGATCCACTTCTTATAGACACCACCATATCCATAGGGTATTAGACCAGCCACTCGGGAAAAGAATAAAAGTTCATGGTGCAGTACCTTTTAAAATCATCTCTTTTAATACACACACATTGCACTTACAAAAAACAGTGTCCCAGCCGACACCAGCATCAACAGCATATCAGGTAAAACAAAAACGAACCCAGCCGCCTTGCACATGCGCCGTACCAACCACTGGGAACGCAATGACGTCACAGCAATCAAGCCCCGAGGTCCCTCAACCTATTGGAACCCCTTGTAGACGGGTACATCCTATCTGCTTGGCAAAATTGCAAGCCAGATGGGTCTTTGTTGTTAAACACTATATGCCTTCCCTTAGTTTAGAGGGGTTTTTTTGGAGCATATGTGCAACTTGAATCATCCCAAAGGAAGCAGCTACAACTTTTTCTTTATAGATTTAGTTATTTCATGTAGACTGTTGTAACAAAAGGATAAAATATAGTGTGTGTTATGCTCAAGTAGGTGGAAGAAAATTAAGAGACATGGATGATACAAGAAGAGAGTAATTGCAGTAAGTAATCACAAAGACTGAAAAGGAGAAAAGAACTGCCCAGAAAACTAAAATGATTAAAACAATTGGGAGTAGCCACAAGCATCTGAAACTATTATCGCTGTAATTACCATGGAAGATCATTATTCTATAAAAACAATGAACTAAAGACTGGTAAAACCCACTGGTTCCTTAACTTTAGTTATTTCCAGGGGAAGATAAATTCTGCTTGGGAATCTTTTTAATCACTTGAGTCCTAGCCTGTATATACCCCTTCGATACTGGCCATGTTTCAGTTTTAGGTGCTGTGATAGGTTGGCTAACAATTACTTGGTCATGCAACACTATACTGTACTAGTTGATCATGTGTCCCCCTGGTTGTGCTCAGTGATAATCATTGTGCCCCTCTTTCCCCAATCGCCATGTCATATCGGACATGCAGCTGGCCACCCATGCCCTATTTCTGCAGTGTATTTATAAACGGCATTCAAGAGACCGTTCTCCATCTTCCTGCTTTTTTTTGTTTCCCACAATACGGTGATAGGAAGGAGTACAAAAATGTATGCTTTATTTCTAAACATAAAAAAGGGCATGTCACCTTTTGGAAGCACAGAGCTAGCCAACCCAAACTGGAGTCTTAGGGGCAGCAAATCTGACATTCAGCAAACTTTTACTGCAGGTAAATCTTCTTGGTGCATGTGTTTTACATGATAGTGACTGATTCACCACCAGTGAATACTTGGTAAAGGTCACATTCATTCCCTTTTGATGTCACTTTCTGTACCATTTATGAAGCAGATGGGCTGGTATGCATTTTAATCACATGCTCCCCAAAAGAGAAGGAGAATGGTTTGCAGCAGAGGCTCATGTTGGTAACGTGGTACAGGAAGGAGATTTGATCTATAAAACACTGAATAGGCATAGCACCAGGAGATATTGGCCTCTATAGGATGGGGTGAAGTGGAGAGTTCCTCCTTCAGGTGCTGAGCTGTGGTGGTAGTAGAAAAATGAGTTGCCTTTTTAATTCTGTTGTCACCAACATAGCCTGTAGGAACTGTAACCCAGATCAAGATGAAGATCTAGTGTCTAGTAAATCAAGCATGTAAGTGGTAAGGTAGCCCATAAATGAGTCATTTTTGTTTGCTCAACCAGTGGGTTGATTGAAAAAAATGATTATATTCCCCCATCCACACACTCAATGATGATAGAGAAATCCTCCCCGCTGAGCTTTTGTATTCTGTTAGTAGGGAAGACTTCCCTGCCATCAGAATACATTGATCAGCGCTGCCGGCTATAGCCAGCTGTGCTGATCGAGTGGTTAAATTCCAATGGGGCGGTTGTACAGAAGTCGATCGGTATATTGACATCTGTACAACTTCCCTGCCCACACATGGATCAAATGCAGTCGGTCCCTGTTGAACCATCCAAATTTTGATCCTGGCTTTAGGCACATTTATTATGGCCACGGATTGCTACAGATGAAAACAAAAAAGGCCCACAAAAGTCTGTCCTGTAGACTAATTCAGAAACAAAGTTGTATCCTTTACTAAAATAAAATATAAAGGGTCACTATGATTATAAAAATGCACCACAGCATGTCAAGCAGGGATTTATCCATTTGCTTCTGGGATCAAGAGAAATGTTTCTTGTAAAAGCAAATTGAACCAGACTTAATGAGTTTCTTTTCGCTTCCTCTGGATCATCCAGAGTGTTTTCGGGATTTTATTTGCTTTTGTGCTCACTTTATGGACATAAAACAATTTCTGACCTAGTTTTGTAACTTTGCTGTGTAGCCTATTGCTTCTCCAAGTCTTTCATGTTCTCTAACAGAAATAATTTAGTCTCCCCAAAGTGTGAGCTTCACCATCAGCCCCGTTTACTGATAACAAGCAGTGCTGACCTTCCAGCATAATGGAAAAAAAAATGGCAGGACATAATATCTCATTATAGCTCAATCCCTATCCTTAGGTCAGCCTTCCGCCACCCTGCAGTCTTCTAGCACTCGCTGTGACAATGTGTATTGTTATGTAAATAGAACCGCATAGAACACATCTTCATTATCTGCTGGATTCTCCTATAAGCTCTGCAGGTTCCTCATACAGAAAGGGCACGCCTGCAACACAGTTGTATTGTTTGTGATTGCGTAAAATAATACCAGGCTATCCCATAAGCTGTGTAGATATTACATTCATCTAACAGATAAGGTCAGCTTTAAATAAAACTGCAGAACCCCATTATATACAGAGGCATGCACCTTCACTCAGCCACCCCCCATGTAATATGCAATACACACTAAACTGAGCATGTGCAGAAGGGCTACGGGTTCAGTCTGTCTTATCAGGTGGACATTTGAACAAGAGGAGGGGGATCTTTTTACACAACATGGAGGATTAACCCCTTAGGGCCTTTTTACACAATGCAGAGGATTAACCCCTTAGGTTCCACAGTGAGTATAACAAGCATGCTTTACTGCATATACAGACTGATTTTACTATTGTGGGTTTAGTAACACTTTAATATCGCAGTGAATTTTCCACATTTCGAAGAATAAACTAGAAGTTGTAGGACACAGACCATGCTTAATAATTATTCATCTCCCCAGTGGGATGGACCCTCCATAATACATATGCATAGAACATATACATATAGAAGGTGAGACTTTAAACTTGACAAAGGGAAAAAAAGTCAAGATTTGATATGTCACAGCTGTGCCAATTACCAGATTGTTATCTATAATCTTTCTTCATATTAAATTCCCATCATCCCCTGCACAGCGGCTGACAGATCAAGCTGGGAATGGAAGTACAGACTGCTGCTGAAAGGAGATAAGAGATCCCAGATCTGTGATGTCTCCTGTCTGCAGCTGCTAGTATTCTATTAGATGCACTTCTGTTGGATTGGCCAGGTGTTGAGAAAGGTCAGACACCCATCAGAAGTGTGGCAGGAGGAAAGTTTACACTATTGGATAAAGCAGCCATATTCCATGGGGGGGGGGGGGGGGGGCACAGGACCGAAAGCTGTAAGTACACACAACGTAGCCATCACTAGGGCTCAATTAAGTTTTTTTTTTTTTTTTTTTTTTTTTTTTTTTTTTGTGGTTCACATGAGCACACTTGTGCTCTCCTGTGACCCCAAATTGGCTGTCAGCTGATGTCACTGACTCTGGAAGGGATCCTGACTGCTGAGAGCCTAAACAGCCCCTTCCCAGCCTGGTGCTTCAGTGAACGCTGCAGGGGAAGAGCAGAGAGCCGGTGACTTCAGAGTCGCCACTCTCTGCTCAGAGAGGACCAAGAACTGAGCGATCGGCAGTCGTGATCATTCAATTATCGGGTGTAGAGCTGGCGGAGGACAGATGCAGTTGCAGCAGGGAGGCAAGTAAGAATGTTTGTTGTTTTTGTATTCCCACACTTCACTTTTAACCCCCTAAACACCTACAGCACACAAATACGCTGTGGGGCCACGTATTTGTATATCTCCCTTTGTGCTGAGATCGTGCGCCCGGGATCTCACTGGGTACAGACAACAAAGAACATATACATATGTGCTATCACTGCGATTGTCAGGAGCAGCAGAATTTATTTTGGGTTGTTCTTTGGTGGTGGGTTATGGTAGTAACAAGAAATATACAGCTAGATTTTAAAAAATGAATTTTTGTTTACTATTTTGGGCCAGGTTTCCATTGATAATAAAAAAAAAAATCAGGAGATATCCATTACCATTCACCACCAAAGAAAAGCGCAATTTGTTCTGAAAAAAACAAAGTATAATTCACCTGGATGTACAAAGTAGTTGTGATAAGTACGGATTTACTAACACATGACAAAGTTGCAAAATGTATTAAATTATTTCATCTACTTGTATAATGCAGTCAATTTACACAGCGCTTTACACACACACACATTGTCCATTCCCATCAGTCCCTAACCCTCAAGGGGTGTACAATCTAAGGTCCCTAACTCACATTCACACATACACATACTAGGGACAATTTAGACAGGAGCCAATTAACCTACCAGCATGTCTTTGGGGTGTAGGAGGAAACCGGAGTACCCGGAGGAAACCTACGCAGGCACAGGGAGAACATGCAAACTCCAGGCAGGGTGGTGCTGTGGATGGGATTGGAACCAACGACCCTAGTACTGCCTGTAAACGAAGGGCTCGTTCACACTTGACTTTATTTCTAACTCTATAGCGTTTGACATGCGTTAGGGAAGCATTTTTAACACTCTCCAAACGCCCTATACGCGGTTTTGAGGCAGTTGATAGGTGTTTGCCAAGCGTTAAAACCGCACCACAAACGCCTATAATGAAGTTAAATGGTATTAACGCTCCGCAACCGTGTTGCAAATGCCTGCCAAGCGTTTGAGGAGCGGCACCATAGACTTGAATGGGAGGCTTCAACTCCTCCTGACTCGACAAGAGGCGCAAGTTGTGACGTAATGCTGTGAACAGCATTGTGTGCTGCCATGTGCAAAATTTTCATAGGCATTTGAGAAGCGTTAAAAACACTACCCAAATGCTTGTCTGACACCTGCTGACAAAGCTAGTGTGAAATGAGCCGAAGGAGAATTTTAAGGCATCATGTATTTTTTTCAGCTGCTCTTAGTGGCATCTGGTGCCCCCCCCCCCCCCCCCCCCCCCCCCCCCCCCCCCCCACTGTTAGTACGTCCAGGAGCAGCTGCGTTTTGGACCGAAAACGCATGACGCACATTTAACACTTGAGTGTTAAATCATTTTAATGACCAGAATAATTTTTTCGTTCTGGTCAATGAAATGAATTAACTCCCAAATGCCTGACGCTGCTAAATGCGCCTAGAAACGTTTAGCCACATTTACAAGCATCAAGTGTTTTTTTTTTATTTTTTTTCTGCCAAAAAGCTGCTTCCAGGAGAAATGGTGTCTAGGAAAGATAGAAAAGTGTCCAGCGGGCATGAGGTCTAAATCTGAGTTGAGCCGCTTACTAGGTTCACACCTAAGCGTTTTCCGCTACGTTTTATAGAAATGCACTACAGTCCATTTAACATGGTTTCCTATGGGACAAGTTCAGATCTCGCATTTTCACCTGGTGCGTTTTTTTTGGAAGGGGTCAGGGACTTTTTTAAATGCAAAAGTTGCATTTTTGGTTCTATAGACTTTAATGGAGACGCTGCAGAAAAGCATGTAGTGCGTTTTTGATGCATTTTTTACGCGTTTTTGATGCGGTTTGCATTTTAATCTGCCTATAAACAAGAAAAAAAAAGGAAACTCATCAAAAAGCACTTCAAAAATGGATCAAATGCAAACTGCATAGGTGTGAACCTAGCCTTACACTTTTACCCTTGATTCATGATAGTGCGGGTGGAAGCCGCTGCAGGATCTGCACTTTGTCCCGCAGCTGCAACCACCCGCACACAAAACGCGGGACCCGCAGATGGGTGCCATTAATCATTGGAGATCACACCCGGACTGTAGTGCAGTTCCCAGTGCGGGCTGCGATTTCTGGAAAGGTGCAGGGACTTTTTCTCTGCGTTTTGCAAGGCACGGCAGCCCATTCAAATGAAAGGGTTGCCGTACCATGGCCCGCAAAACACCACTAGTGTGAACCAAGGGTTAATGCATCATCTTTGTTGGCTCTTACATTGCCATTTATTGCTATTTTTGTGATATCATCCCCCGATCATATTTGCATCTCAGTTTGCAGGTTTTCTATGTTCTGGTATATAAATGTAATTAAACCTGGTATGTATATTGGGTTTTTTTTTTTTGTACCGTTTATTTCATTACATGCCGTTAAAAACAAACCTTGTATAGCCTGGAATCTAGTGTGTAGTACATTTTACCCAGCGGCCATTTCCGAGGTAGTGTGTCAGTGTGAGCCTGTTCTAGATCAGATCAAATTATTATTCTGGTCAATGAAACAATTGAATGCCTAAACGCTTGACGCAGCCCAATGTGTTAAACGTGTTTACAAGCATCAAGTGTTTTATATGCCAAAATTCTGCTGCCAGGAGGAAAGACGTCTAGGAGTGAGAGAGAAACGCCCAGTGTGCGTGAGGTCTTATACAGGCCATACATGGGCCGAATTCCGAATGAATTTTCTGTAGAAAATCGGACATTTTGTGTGCTTTTTAATCCCAATGGTGCCACCAGGGGCGGACTGACCATTTGGAAAGTCAGGCACTGCCCGAGGGCCTGGGGTCAGTAGGGGGCCCATGAGATGCCCCTGGTACCTTTTTCATAGGCTTTTTTGAGTTTGGGCAAGGACACAGGGGTCCCATGATCCCCTATTGCCCGGGTGCCCCATGAGTTGTCAGTCCGCCCCTGGACGCCACCATTGATTTCAAAATTCGACCAACCAAGCCTTCAATTTCCCCTCATGTTGCTACAGAAAAGAATATTCGTAGCCAAGAATTTTCCTTTTCTTTCCAGGTCACACCTCATTTCTTTTCCAATTACATTTCTTGCACGATTCTCCCTTCATTGATTAGAAATTTGTTCATTTTTCAAAAAGTTTCCAACATGCCTGATCACTCAGATTCAATGGTCACACGAAAATCTGCTGTTTCTATGACCCACTAATGGTGCGAAATTCGAACGAACATTCTTAGAAAAGATTTTTTAAAGAAAATTATTTTGGAATTTGACCCGTGTATGGCAGGCTTTAGTCTTCCACATAACGACTTCTGCACGGTGACCCTGGAAAGAGCTGATCACACATGTGTGTCACTCATCAGTGTTGTAGTAATCTGTATCTGTGTATATGGTAGCGCCTGCTCATTATTGAAAAGCTCAGCCGATGCTGAATCACTGGGTAGGAGCATTGGCTGCTATTGAAGTCCAGGGAACAGAAGTGTCTGTGTCAGCTGCCTGAAATGACTAATTATCTGAAGTTGCAAATCCTATTAATGACACATAATTGTTTTTGCTTACACCATCAGATTGATTCTGCATGCTGACATGTTGCTTGTAGTTACATTGATTTCAGGATTAGACCTCTATAATAAATATATCTATTATGCTGGCACTGCAAGGCAGCTAAATTTATTTGTATATAATGAAGCAGCAGGATTCACATATGGCTGTGAGCAGTAATGTCTGTACTGATGGGACGCATAGGGGGGGATTTGCTAAAACTAGTGCGCTCAGAATCTGCTGCAGCTGTGCATAGAAACCAATCGGCTTTTATTGCCAAAGCTTAGTGCTACTAAACCCCGGACCCTGCATTCACTATATCTGGTCCCCCACAGTACACACAACATGGAAGTGCAATTATTTTAGTAAATTATAAAGTGCTAAATACCTTTTCTCATCAGACGTTAGAGCAGTCTTGTGACTAGAAGTGTCCAGCAACGCACTGGTTAAAGCTTGTAGGAGGCGTTTTTATTTCTGCTCCCAGGAGGATGCAAAACCCCTAACCTCTGTTTGGACACTGCTGATTGACCCTGTGCTGATCACATGCACTCTCCCAAGGAAAAAAAAAAAAACTTCTCTAGCAATGCACACCAAACTGAGCATGTGCAGAGTGACTCCACACAATATGTCTTATCAGGAGATAAGAGGGGGACACTGGAAAAAGGGGAGGATCAGAGCAGTCTGGATCAAACAGCATTTTTACACAATGCAGAGGATTAACCCCTTAAGTTCCACAGGGAATATAACAGACATGCTTTACTGCATATACAGACTGATTTTTGTGCTATAAATAAAAAAAGACCGACAATTTTGAAAAAATAAAAAAAATATATATTTTACTTTCTGCTATAAAACCTATGCAATACATTTTTTAAAAAAGAAAAATCAAGTTTCTTTAAAAATTTAGGCCAAAATGTATTCTGCTACATATTTTTGGTTAAAAAAAAGTCCCAATAAGCATATATTGTTTGGTTCACGCAAATGTTATAGCGTCTACAAACTTTGGGACATTTACTGGAATTTGTATTTATTTTTTCATACTAGTAATGGGCCAATCAGCAATTTATAGCAGTACTGCAATATTGCGGCGTACAATCTGACACTAACTAACACTTTGTGGGAACCAGTGACACTAATACAGTGATCAATGCTTAAAATTATACACGGTCACTGTACTAATGTCCCTGGCTGGGAAGGGGTCAAACCTCTAGGGCGATCAAAGAGCTGTGTGCCTAGCCAGTGTTTATGTGTTTACTTTTAGGTGTTTTTACTAAGGAATACGCTGGATTTTATTCCCTGCTTTCCAGGGAAACAAAAATCCAGCATATCCCCGCTGACAGGACTGAGCTCTGCGTTGTTGATGTATGCAGAGCTCCGTCCGGTGTGTCTTCTCACTGATCAGTGGGTGCCAGCAGTCATCCATTGGCCGGCACCCGTTGATTGGTTTCTGCTGTCATTTGTCAAAGCGCGCCCCCTACCCATAAGTGCGCAATTACGTGTATATATAGAGTGGCCACCCTGTTGCATTAAAACTTCTATAGGGTGGTCAACAATGGATACAGAAGACCATGGTAGAAGAGTAAGGCCTCATTCGCATGGGGCATATGAATCTGTACCCTGTGTAAGGTCTCCATGATGCGTTTGGGGTTGTGCACCCACACCCCCATGGATGTCACATTGGGAGCAGCGACTGTGTCCTAATTAACCAGGTGGTTGAGCTTCATTTTTACCTCTAACCCCCCCTTCCCAAACAAACACATACACACACCATCCCCCTTCCCCAAGCCCTGCATGTATCTGTACACCGCAGTTTTTATAAGCTGTGCAAATGAGGCCTTAGGCTCCATTCACACTTCTCAATTTGAAATTGCAGGCAGATTCACCGCTATTTGAAATCGCTGGGCAATTGCAGTACAATGCACTGCATGCATCTGGAAGCCATTATCCTTCAATGGCACCCAAAATGCGATGCGATTCTGCCTCGATTGCCAAGCGACAGAATCCCATGGCGAATCGTACCTTTTATAAATTGCACAAAGCTTGTCGAGTGACATGATCACACGGCGAATCGTACCTTTACAAATCGCACGAAGCATGTCACCCAAAAAGGAGCAGGATCTTCTTTTTGGGTGACCAACACGCATAGGGCAGCCCATTCAAGTAAATAGGCTGCCCTATGCGACATGCAGAATCTCTTGAATATCACATGAATGGGGCCTTAGGGTGGAGGAGGAAGAGTGTAGCTTCCTTTTTCCCTTCATATAATTGTTCCACATGTATGTGATTGTAAGACACTGAGTCCTGTTTTTATTTATTATTTTAGAAGCGGACTTTGATTTAGGTCCCTTTGTTACCTTGGCAGATCTGTTTGCTGGGAATCTGATGCACTTGTAGTGTCTTGTTCCTCCCACGCGCCCCATTTCGCTGCCAGAATTGATTAGTGAGTCAGCACGTCTCTCTGGTTACTATGTATATACTAAATTTTGTTTCTGAGAACATACATGGAGGTGGAATGCTCCTTTAAAAAATTCCAATTTGAAATGGTGAAGAGTATCCTAACCCTGGCTGTGACTTTGTAGAAAGTTTTGTTCTTGGATGTGGATGGATTTGGGTTTCTGCTGAGAGGTAAGCGCTGGTGTTATTGGAAAGCAATCTGCTGCCTTGGCATCTCATTGTGAGATTGTCACTTCACGTCTCTGAGAGTGACAACTGAGAACGGGCATCTGTCAGACTTCTTACTCTGCGATAGAAATCTGTATTTCTCTTTTCCCGCGTATGGGAACACGGCTGACCTTTTCTGTATCATCTTTAATAACGCATTGCTACAAGTGTTGGCTGCCTTTCACCGTTCATTTTTCTCCTTGTTCCTCGTTCTCTTACCTCTGTGTCTTCTCCCAGCAGCTTGATGACCAGCTCCTGTTCATCGGATGACATTGATCAGGAGGAAATACAGCTGGCCTTGCAGGCTGCGAAGATTGCGTCCAGAGAAAAGATCAGATCCCGCTTCCACAGCAGTAATGACCTCATTCACCGGCTCTTTGTCTGCATCTCAGGTTTGTCTCCCTTCCATTCATCAGAGCTCTATACAGCTATTCTATCCTCTCACTCATCTGATCAACACACATTCATATAGAATATGTTGGCACCAATCCACGGACACCATTAGTTATTTTTCATGTGTTTGTTATTTATTATTTAAATTATGTTCACATAAAAAATAAATTAGTAATTGTTCTGGAATCATTATATTCCGCATGAAATGAACATTTAAAGCTGAACTCCCGGCAGATATAAAACTAACACCAATTATTGCAGCTCTGTATTCTGGGGGAAAAAATCCGTACGTCTATTTTTAAATGCAGCCAATGTAAATAACCTTCATTTGATTTGGTATCGGCCTCTATGAAGCCTCATTCATATATGCGTTTGGATCGACTATGATTTCATGAAAAACACAGTAGGGTAAGTGGGAAGACCCCCCCCCCCCACAAATATGAGGCTGACCATGCCCACAGCCATTCACTGCTGTTCTTTTGTAATCGGATATGCAGGGACTACCTGTGGATGATTGGTACTAACAAATGGCAACCACCCCAACTGGTCTTTGCAGCAAGGAGCACATGAAAGGGCAACGCATGTCGTAAAACAATTATAAATTCCCAGCTCACTTACCAGCCAGCCTGCAACAAACTAAATTACGCTAACAGTTCACATATAAACAAGGGGTTTAGGTTGCACACATTTGCAAATGTAGCAGGTTGCAGAGGCCACTCCATGGCACTCCAGTATATCTAACTCGCTACATTTTTAGAGTATGCAAATTTGGAGAACATATAAAATATTGGATAGATTAAGGGCAGGTATGCCTAGAGGGAGCCCATCTCTCCTTGAAGGTATAGGGACACCCAGCAATAGCACAATGGCAGCAATGGTGTCCAATGCTTCCTCTGACCAGTTCTCTCTCTATCCATTCAGTCGTATGCGCCCCTTGGCGATTGCATGGACCGTCACTCGTAAGCAACTTTTTCCATGAATTCTCAACCAGAGATATACATTGATTTATAGGTGAATGAGTTTATGGAGGCTTTTCTGACCGTGTTTCATTAGCTGCTCTAAGCAGGGAGTGAATAAAACATATATTTTTTTTTATATAGCTAGGACAAGGTTTAACCTAATTGCACCATGGGCCAAAGCCTAGATCAGCAAGATTGGTGGGTTAAAGGAAAGATGAGTATGTGCATTTGAGGGGTACTGGAGTTAAATAACCCTTTGTATAGTAAATTTAAGATGATTGGCCTCATATTTTTGTAAAGAAATAAACTACTTACCCAAAATGGCAGCCACATTAGACTATCTATCCATTCAGTCGTATCCAACCCTTGGCGATTGCATGGACTGTCACTTGTAAGCGACTTTTTCCATGAATTCTCTTAGCAATTATTTTACAGGGTAGGTTGCCAGGTCTTTCCCCAACCCCTACCATGCAGGAGATCCCGCATGGCCAGGGATGAAACTAGGACAATTTAGACAGGAGCCAATTAACCTACCACCATGTCTTTTGGAGTGTGGGAGGAAACCGGAGTACCCGCAGGAAACCCACGCAGGCACAGGGAGAACATGCAAACTCCATGCAGGAGGCGCCATGGTTGGGAATTGAACCCATGACCCATTTACTGCACGGCCTGACCAATTCACCAATAGTAAAAACAAATGGCATCCACCCCAAACTATAACTGGCCTATGCAGCGAGGAGCATACCTGGAGACAATCAGCCCTGAATGTAAACAGTCTGTGTCCTGGGCCAATCATCCACAGGTAGTTGCTGCATGTCTGATTTTATGTAAACAGCTGCGAATGGCTGTGGGTACTGTCAACTTCTCATTCCTTTGTATGGGGCTTCCCACCGGCAGTTGCTCACAGTAAGCCCTTCGAGGTCTACTTGAAGTCAGCTCCAAATACACCAGAGAATGAAGCCTTCATCCTCTATACAGCAGAACTTACACTGGAAGAGGGATGAACAGTTGTAGGATCTAATCACATGTGCTTCATTCAGATATACAAGGAGCATACTGACTGGAGGAAAATTAGTTCTGAAAAGCTTGGCAGTATCCTGCTGCACTTACACTGTCCAATCACAGGTTAGGGGCAGAAGGTTGACTAAGCTGTATTGCTTCAGTAGAAACCAGGTAATTCACTAATCTGGCCAAGGCATCTGTCAGAGCCATGCAAATCTCAGAAGATGATAAAAATACAAATCGTTTGATAGGTAAAACAGCAGTTATGTTTAACCAGCTCTGGAAGATTTTACCCCCTTCATTACCAGGCCTTTTTTGCCGTTTGGCACTGCGCTAGTTTAAGTGGTAATTGCATGCTCATGCAATGCTGTATGCAAACAAAATTATGTAATTTTTTTCACCCAAAAAGTTTTCTTTTTATGGTATTTGATCACCACTGGGTTTTGTATTTTTTGCGATATAAAGATTAAAAAAAAAAACACTTTCTCCTACAAAACATATCCAATTAAAAAAAAAATTCTTCATAAATTTTGTCCAAATTGTGTTCTGCTATGTCTTTGATTAAAAAAAAAATACCAATAAGTGTATATTGATTGGTTTGCGTGGAAGTTATAGCGCCTCCAAATTTTATATGCTGAAGTTTTGTTGTTTTTTTTTTAGTATATACTACTAATGGTGGTGATCAGTGACTTATAATGGGACTGCAATAGTGTGGCAGGCAATCTGATGCTAACTGTTGCTGGGGGGAACTGACTGATCAGCGACTTATAATGGGACAGCAATAGTGTAGCAGGCAATCTGATGCTAACTGTCGCTGGGGGGGGGGGGACTGGCTAACTGCAACTGACATCACCAGTGACATTAATACAGTTGATAATACTATACATTGTCATTTAGTAACGACACTGGCTGGCAAGGGGTTGACATCTAGGGCGATCAAGGGGTTAAATCTATGCCTAACTATGTGTAATGTGTGCTGCTTTTACTAATGATCTCTCAGTTTCTCATCCCTGCAAAGCAAGGATGAGAAACTGAGAGATTGTTCCTTCTGTATAGAGCCCTGTGTTGAATGTCCACATAGAACTCTGGGCTGTAATCGTACACAACCAAGCAGCAGGTTCCAGCAATGAAACATTGGCTTGGACTTGCTGACAGCCTCCTGCTGTGTACAATCAAATCAGGAGTAGGCGGGCAGGGGGCACGCACGCTTGTCTGAAACCCAGAACCAGACAGCGACATACGGTTACGTCGCTTTGCCTTTGCTGGCCACTTTGCAGCAGATTGCGGGTGGCCAGACCACAAGTGGTTAATAATGGTTGCAGCAGCTGGTTCCAGCAAATATTATAAGCTCCTTTTTTAAAAGATTGAGTTTTAGGAAGTGGTGTGACATCCATATTGATCAACCTAGAGATGATTTTGGAAGCTGTGCAAGGTTATCAACTGACCAAGGGTGGAGGTGTAGATAAAAAATACAAGGGGGTCAAGGACAGAGCTTTGGGTGATCCTACAAAAAGAGGAAGAATAGAGGAGCAGATGGAGTTGTAGGTGATACTGAAGGAGCACTTGGATAGGCAAGAGAACTAGGAAAGAGCAGAGTTGTGCAGGCCAAGAGAGTGAAGTTTTTGGAGGAGAATTGGGCGGTCGGCTGTATTGAAGGCATCAGGAGGATCTAGTAGTAATATTATTAAGTGTTCATTGGTTTTAGCAGTTAGTCGTTTAAGTTTTGTAGAGTATTGTGGGGGCAAAAGCTGGACTGTAGGGGGTTAAGAAGGGGTAGCAGCATACACAGATGTAGAAGAGCTGAAGAGGAGCAGGGAGATGGGTCTGAGGTTGTTCAGACTGGTAGAGTCCAGTGAGGGCTTTAGAGAGATTGAAGAGCAAGGCTCCATACTGCATACAGCTATTCCAGGCGTATTGGCCTTCATCAGTGTGTTGTGTGCTAGGTTTCAGGAGAGAAACTGTACAGCACTGGGCTGGCATAAAGTTAAGTGCACTTTTCTTTAAGGCTCCATTCACACTTGTGGGACTTCAAAGTTGCGTAACAAATCACAAGTCGTTCTTTTCAATGGCACCCATACAAATGGGCGCTGCACTACTTTGATGCGACTTTGATCCAGAGAGTGTAAAGTCGGACCAAAGTCAGATGCCGGAAGCTGACTGGTTTCTATGCAGAGCTGCACCAGATTTTACATCCTCCGGTTTTAGTAAATTAACTGCAGGAATAACCCTCTTGTGTGATAATGTATAGAGACGTGTGCCTGAGCTGCAGTGGGTAACCAAGAGGACTTTCTCATTGAAGCACAGCTGCTGTGTTTGCTGGATGAACTTAGTGCTTAGATTGCTTTCACATGTTACCTGCATTACTTGCCCCTTGCGATGCATAACTATGAATATTAGAAGTCACCAAGGAGTTGTGTGACCTTTTATAAAATGCATAGTACAGCTTTGTGCATTAATGTGCTCAATAAACTTCTAAGTGAATCCTAATTTCCATACAGCAGAGGGAACTTTATTCCACATATAACATATTTTATATATACTGTATATAATATTTTTTTTTATAATTAAACTAGTACCGGACAGCAGTGAATCGCTTACGTTTAGGTCCAAAAATGTCATTTTTCTGCTTGGCAACCAATATTCTGTGCTGCCAGAATAACCATTAATAAAAACCATGTCTGTTAAGGCCACGTTCACAGTTGAACATTTTGTATCTTGTAGCTCGACGCTAAAAATACGCTCAACAAGCAAAAATCTATTGTTTTCAGTAGATCTTACGCACATCTCAGCATTCAGTCGCTTGTAGCAAAACGCCTGTCGCTCAAAAACATGCGCAAGCTACTTTTCAGGCAGAATGGAGTGTTTTTTGTTCCCTTAGACGTCAATGGAAATGCCTGAAAAGCTTGACAGAAGCGTTTTTGAGTGTTTGCAGCTCAAACACCCCTTTTTTAGCTTGCCATTGGCCACATAAAAAATGTCTATTTGAAAAAATGCTTGAAAGCTGTAAAAACGTGCAATTCTGCTCCAAAAAACACTAACACACTTAAAAGAAACACTTGAAAAAATGATCGACGGTGTGAATGAGGCCATATTGTTACTTGCCCATTTGGGAGGATGCAAAATGGTTTCACCTCCAGACATTTCTACATGATGCCCAGTACTGTTCCCTGATCGCGTAAGAAGTGTCTGTTCTCATTGTCATCCTCAGGTGTTGCTGATCAGTTGCAGACAAACTATGCAAGTGACCTAAGGAGTATCCTAAAGACTTTGTTTGAAGTCATGGCCACCAAACAGGAGATAGATGACAAAGGGAAGCAGAAAAAAGGTAACTCATTTGTTGTTTTTAAAAAAATTCTTCTAAATGCATAGGCGTTAACAGGAAGTATATATTGCACCCCGGCCACACTGACTTAAGGTTTTTATTTTACACGTTTTGTGGAAGTACAGTTAGAACATGGGATGGTTTTCATCAGGCATATGGCAGGGCTTATGCACACAGACGTTGTTTGAAATGCATGTTTCTCACAAAAGTCCTCAGTCATCTGGAAGGCCTCTCATGCGTCTGATAATGTATTAGCAATTCTTTAGTTGATAAAAATGTTCAAACAACTTTGTATAGACCAGGGGTAGGCAACCTGCGGCTCTCCAGCTGTTGCAGGACTACAAGTTCTATCATGCCTCTGCAAGTCATAGCTGTAACTGTTAGTTTTGTAAAGTTGCAATGCCTCATGGGAAATGTAGTTCCACAACAGTAGAGAGCCGCAGGTTGCCTACCCCTGGTATAGACCATTGCACTTAGTAAATCTGGTTAATGTCACTGTTTACCCTTGCTGCCCTTTCACGCTGATGTAGTGCAGTTTGCCTGCAGTGCCTGCGCAGCGTACCCGTGGGTTTGGTGCAGGTCAGCTGCTCTTTCCCATAGAGTTCTTTTTTGTCCTGCAATTTTGGTGTGCTTTCTGAAAGTGCACACAAACCAAGGGACATAATAGGAGTCAATGGGAAAGTGCAGCTGACCCGCACAAAACCTGTAAGTACACTGCGCCGCACATGCGGTGCAGGCACACCTCACTATATCAGTGTGAAAAGGGCCTTAGTCCATCTAGTAGCTGCCAACACAAGTGCAGTTTCATTTGCAGACAGGATAAACCGGGGAGGTATCCATAAAAGGTAAGTGGCACCGCTCAAACGAGTAGGGGTTGGAAAACCCGGAGACCAGTCTTCAGTGACTCCATAACGCGCATAAGGAAGATCCAAGCCAACAACTCAATGACATCCAAATATGAAGGAATTTATTGGCTATGTGGTCAAAAGCAGTACAAAGACAGTAACATGTTTCAGCCGTCAGGCCTTAGTCATAGTAGTAACTAAGGCCTGATGGCCGAAACGCGTTACCAATAAATGTGTTGACCACATAGCCAATAAAGTAATTCATATTTGGATGTCAGAGTTGTCTGATTGGTCTTAAAACCCAAGGAGGTATATTCTAAGGAATGTTCATGATTCCCTACAACCCCCTTCCCCTGTTTTCATCAAAGTATCGCCCCTTCTGTGAAGTTGAATACAGTTGTACTGACGGTCCTGTATGTAGATGGGGTAAAGTGGAAATCCGGTCAAAACCTAACTAAGCTTAACCCCTTGGTGCCGGCGCCTCCCGGCCCTTTAAGGGTTCCAGAAGTCGGGAGGAGGGGTGGGGTTTTAGAGTCATGTGACAGCCGTGATTTGCTGTCACGGCGGTCACATGATCGGGAAAGGTCCCGATCGAAAGAGGAGATCGGGACCTTTCCGTGAGTACCGAACGTGTGTGCTGGGAGCTCGCAAGATGCGTTTAATAGAACGCAAATGTGCGGCTGCTTAGCATCTAGGCCCAGATGCCGGGGGACCTCACATTCGCGTTCGGACGGCGCCAAAAGGTTAAAACCTATTCCTACTCCACTGACTCTCCTCTCCCCTGAAGCCGCTGCTGGGAGCCATCACGTGACCAGACTGGAGCAGCCTTAGATTAGGCAAGTGTAGACCTCTTTCCAGGATTCCTTTACAGGCTTGTCAGTATAGGGCTGAGAACAGAGGTGGGCGCAGGTGTAAGATTAGTTGATGGGACTTCTACTTCCACAGTGATCAAAGTGCATTGACTTAAATTGGAGATTGACCAAAGTAAAGGCACATAACAGGAAATCATTAAAGACTTGGAGGAACAGTAATGCCTGAGTGGAGTAACACACAAAAGACGAGCAGCACTAGAGGAGTTGTGGAGACGGTAGGGAGGCGGCAGAGCATGCTGATAATTGGAGACTCAAGCATGACATTGGGCTCAATTCACAAAGCTTTAGGACAAGGCAAAGAAACGTTATTTTAGCCATGTGACTGTAATTGTCAAATCCTGTTGGACATAGCTGAAAAATACAGTAACTTTTTAAAATGGAAGGAGACTTGTACTGGTGTGTTGGAATTGCAACCAGCAGACAATGGGAGCCAGCACAGGTGCTGCGATAGAGCGGTTGTATTTAGTATTTTCAGAAGATTGTCAATTTTAAAATAACCTGCTCTTCTAGAAAAGAGTCCTTCTAGAAATGGTGATGGATTTCAAGTAAACTTCAAATACTTTAAATTGTGCTGCAGTGGGTTCCCATAAATTACATGTCTGGTTCAAATCCACTGAAACACGCTGCCCTCTTGTGGTGATATTTTAGAAAGCAGCAGCCAGCTATCTAGAACCAGAAGAGGTAAATAAACACTTTTTCATGATTCTTTTTTTTTTTTTCAAAATATTTTGCGACACATTTTGAAGACAGGGATTACATGTACTTTTAATTAAAATAGTTTTTTGTGTTTTATACTAAGAAATGCTGCAAAACTAATGCAAACTAAGTTTGTTTGATAATGGTTAAAAACGGGGAGGGCTTACAGAAATTGTCATGGTAGAGGTTGGCTTCAAATGCTATTTAAAGCCTATCTCCAGGCAAAGTAAAAATCCTCCCTTGCAGTGGCGCTTCCCACTCACTTCAAAGTTTAAATGTTCATCTAGATCTACAACCCCCCCAAAAAAAACTATTTTACTTACCTGATCCTCTGCTTCCACAAGCTCCCTCGAGGCTGTGGGACTCATCCTTTTTAACAAGGGTCTACACAATGATCACTGAACATAGCTGACTGCATTTTCTGCCAGCCAATCAGAGTAGTTCCTGCTCACAGACTGGGATATAGGTTGATGTACACATGGGAGTGCACATGCAGTGTGGCTTAAAGTGGTTGTAAACCTCTGACATGAAAATGGGGAAAGCATATCCCTCTATAGTGTGCACTTGTCTCAGTCCAAAGCACTTAGTGTCATTTCTGTCTGCTGCCTCATTCCTCTGCTATCTGCATGAGACCCCAAGTGTTAAAAGGTTGACAGGGGAGGGAGTTCCAGCACACAGCCTGTGATTGACCGCTTTAGCTTTGTTCCTGTGTGCTGTGCGAGGGGGGGGGGTCCAATCCCTCCAATCGGCTCTCACTGAGCTCTGCAGAGTGTATGAGCTTTCTGCAAGCAGGGGGCAGGGAGATCAAATTACAAGCTATATACATTCTGCACTTTACCTGTAGAGAACAGAGGGTTGCAGACAAACAGGTACAACCAGGGGCAGACTGACAACTAATGGGGCCCCGGGCAATAGGGGATCATGGGGCCCCTGTGTCCTTACTCAAAAAAGCCTATAAAAAAGGTGCCAGGGGCATCTCATGGGGCCCCCTACTGACCCTGGGCCCTCGGGCATTGCCCGAGTTTCCAAATGGTCAGTCCGCCCCTGGGTGCAACTTAAAGTGTTACTAAACCCCGGACCCTGCATTCCCTATATCTGGTCTCCCACAGTACACAGAATATGGAAGTGCAATTATTTTAGTAAATATAAAACTGCTAAATGCCTTTTCTTATCAGTAGTTAGAGCAGTCTTGTGACTTTTTTTTCAGTGTCCAGCAGAGCACATGTTAAAACATGTAGGAGGAGTTTTCATTTTGCTCTAGCAAAATACAGGACCCCTGACCTCTGTCTGGACAGCGCTGATTGGCCCTGTGCTGATCACATGCACTCTCCCAAGATAAAAAAAAAAACCCTCTCTAGCGATGCACACCAAACTGAGCATGTGCAGAGTGACTCCACATGATATGTCTTATCAGGAGATAAGAGGGGGGCACTTGAAGAAGGGGAGGATCAGAGAAGTCAGGATCAAACAATGTTTTTACACAATGCAGAGGATTAACCCCTTAGGTTCCACAGTGAGTATACCAAGCATGCTTTACTGCATATACAGACTGATTTTACTGTTGTGGGTTTAGTAACATGTTAAGTAGGAGGATTTGTTTGATTTCTTTGTATGACCTGAGGCCAGTCATTTCAATAGGTATATGTAAGGGTTTGAAACCACTTTTAATTGTATGTAAAGCCATTTTTTGGGTTCTAGACAACGTTTGGTGGGGTTAGAGCCCATTCATGCTTCTTATTGATGCCATTGTCACCACTTGGTGGGATTCACTCTCTCCATTTGTTGTTGTGACCACTGTCATTGGGTCTAAAGCTGTGGGAAAATACTAAATGTTTGGCTGTCACTGGAGCAGGGAATAGGAAGCTTATCCAGTGAAGACATTTGTACCAATGACACCTGTATAAGAGTGGATGTATCTTACGTTGGAGATCACTCCTATCACTTTGGTTGTGCTCAAGTCAGAAAGTAAAGAAATGTTTCCCAAGGACACGCTGACAGCAAAGTAAAGCTGAACTCTAGAGAGCTAAACCTGCCCACCGTGCAGCATGGCTTTGATACTGGTTTAGTCTAGGGGGCATGGGGTAGGCAGAATGGAATGCCTTACTTCTCACTCTCACAGGCTTCCTCCCCATCAGACTACTGGTCCACAAAGACTTTTTGAAGGTGGTACAGCTTCCCCATCACTGACTTTGTCATGTGCAACACAGAACCCAGTGGTCTGACTCTGTACATGAGGACATCAAGGGCCCGTCCACATTCTAGGACTGCAACAAATATGAAGGAAATTGCAGGCTGCCAGTGAGCAAGGAAGAGGTAAGTAATCCCCTCTGGTAAGTCCTGTAGACAGAATGAGCATTAGAGGCAAACAGGGAGAGCCAGCAAAGGTGGATTGCTATAAGCTGAATGGAGGTCAGCTGTAATTGATTTTCATAAGAAGAAGTTTCAGAAGATTTCCACAAGTAGACCAAAAAGCTGTTGGTTTGTCAAAGTGTCACATAGAATGGTAGATTACCTGAAGCAAGCAGGCAGCATCATTTGTATCCCAGGTTTGAAATGTAAAGTAGACTCATAGTGCTTTGGGTGACATGGATGGGTTTTTTTTTTTTTGTGAAAAGTGAGGCTCATTTTGAGCATGCAATGTGCCGTTTTTCAGTTTTTCTTAGGACTGGTGTCTTATTTGGAGAAACAAATGATGATTTCTCTTTCTCACAGTGAGCCAAGGCCTGAGGAGTTCTGCTTTAGAAGATTGTGCTCTCTGTCAAGAAACCATCTCATCCTCAGAGCTAGCTGCCAAGGCCCGCGATGGAGAATTTGAAGGTATGGATAGCTAATATAATGTAGTGGTGTATATGTATATATGTGTGTGTATGTATGTATGTATGTATATATATATATATATATATATGTATGTATGTATGTGTATATATATATATATATATATATATATATATAGCCCCATTTTTCTAAAACTGCTAAACAGTGGTGTCTCATTTGGACTGCTGGATTCTTATTAAAAAACATACAGGCATCAGCTGGATTGAAACTCCTTTGCAAGTTCTGTAGCCAATTTATTTGCAAGCAAGTTCTGCAGCCGGCTAGGAACAATTAGGGTTCTATTTAGAAAGGACAGGTAATCTCTATCTGCTATTATATTTCACAGTAATACTACATTATTTTATTTTCTTATGCACTGCTTTACATTTATTGTACATTGACATCAATCCCTACTATTAGAGATCTTACAATTTAAGGTCCTTATATCACACTGATTCTTCCAAATTCTAAGGCCAATTTAGACCGAGCCAATTAAGCTAGGAGCATGTCTTTTAGAGTGTGGGAGGAAACAGGAGAACCGGACACCAATGCAGGCACCATAAGAACATGCAAGCAGTGTTGTGGTTAAGATTCATACCAATGACCCTAGAGCTGACCAGCCACTTCTCCTTGCGGTTAGCCTAATAATAAAAAGCAGCTGAAAGCTGCGATATCCTATGGAGATCTCTCTGCCTAGGGAAACAGAGAGAACTCTGACTGGAGGAGAGCCAGAAATGTGACTTTGAAAGATCACGTGACTGAACTCTCCTCCCAGATTTTCTTTTTTATACAAACTCCATTTATTTTTGCCCAATTTATATCCACAAAAACGGTGGAACATTTAGCACATCGGTAACGCATATTGTTGTGCTTTATAAATTTGAGGGATTTTTTTTCTTTTTTTTTTTTGTAGCCTGTGGAAAGGGTGTTGGTAGTCCCATACCCCTGTTTCATAGATAAGACCCTTTCTAATCTAAGTGGCTCACAAGCCCCATCCTTGGGTTCTCCGTATGCAAACACCATCCTAACAAGTGCTTTGCCATGCCCTCTTGCCATCTTTCCATTGAAGAGGTTCAGGGCCTTGCCTGTAATAGGGACCAGCTCTGAATGTAGAACTGAAGGTTGTGATTATTCAACAGTGGGGTGAGGGACTACTGGAGCATTCCAGAAGATAATGTGTGGACATTATGGATGCGTGCACTTGACACGAGTTCAACTTTACTGGGTTCATCAAAGGATAGGTTTCCTTCTAAATCTCCAAAGCATGTACAATATGAAAACTAAAGAGCTGCTGCTCCAGGTCCATCTGCTTATCCGCACTTCTCACACCTGCTCATCGGGGGTGCTCACCCAGTTTGCAAACTGGTCAATGTAGTGAAGAAAAATCCAGATAGCAGCACTCCAATGGATCTACTTTTCTTGATATATAAAAAAAAAAACCAAGAGCATTCACGCATTGGCGCTTACTCATTGCCTCATCTCATCAGTAGCCAAACAAACAAATATATGTTTCTCACAGCTGCTGATAAATCAGAACCAGACCACTCTCAGGGTATATTCTGTGTGGTGCAAAAGATTGTCCCTGCTGTTTGCATTTAAAAAGGTTGAAGGTGTTTGTCTCCACAAATAGTGGCAAAGAATATAGAATGAAGGAGTTCATCAACTATAATACGAGGCGTGTCATTTATTTAATCACATGCTAAATTTACCATATACAGTATGTATGTAGATCGACCAGGAGGCTGTGTGATCACCTCCAAGATCACGTATATGACATACAGAAGAAACATTCTACTAATGTGACTAACCATTTAAATGGTGTGTATGGAGGTGACCACGCAGCCTTGAGCATGCAGAGAATTGAGAGAGTTAAAAGACCCTGTAGGGGGGCTGTGTTCAAGTTGCTTTGCAAATGCAAAGTTTTTTGGATATTCTATTTACAAACATGCTGACAAAAAGGTCTTAGTGGGATTTCACACATTTTCAGGAATGATATATGTGTAGAGGTGCACACAGTTCCCTGGGTGCTACTTTACGGGTCAGATTATAGTGGAGAGTGATTAGGTGCGTTGATAATAGATATACAGATGGGTTTCGTTTTGTAAATATTTTTGTATATGATATGCAGTTCTTTATATTCACTAGGTTTGGTGGGGATGTTGTACTTAAAGTATCTGCATAGTTTTTTAAAACCATGTATATGTATGGGGTTTGAACATGGAGGTCTGAGACAGATTTTCTATTAAGCTGTGCGCGAACATCCCAGAGAACAGGCTGGTTCTGATTTAATTATCAACAGCTGTGAGCATAATATAATTGTTTTTTGTAATACCGGTGAGATGAGGCTATGCGTAAGCGCTAACTCACATAACATATCAACCTTACTCTTGTTCCCCAATGTCTGTGATTTTTTTTTTTTTTTTTTAAGTATCAAAAGTGGATCCATTGGAGTGCTGCCATCCAGAATTTTCTTCTCTACATATATAATATGGAAGTGGATGATTTCACGCATGAGCTTGGATCCTTGTCGACCCATAAAAAAAAAAAATTGTCAAGTCATATGAACCTCAAGGAGCAGTCATGTACCTGTATCCAAGCTGCACCTCTGTAGGTTGCTCAGGTTCCCCCAAAACCTAGGTTGCCCTATAACAGCCTTTCTCATCCAGGGTGCCTTGAGGTTTCTTCAGGGGTACCTTGGCAAAACTTATACAAGCCAGCGGGTGGAACAAGCCTGCCTTTTAGTTACACAAAGCCACAGGTTTTCATTGTGCACCATTACCACCTTCTAGCTGCCGGAATCCTGACAACCAATGACATCATCAACTGATAAGGAGGATGTCAGCTGCCTACACAGCATCCTATTTTGACCCTCTCCATCAGTTCTGGAGTCACATTAGCTCTGTAATGGATAAAAACTGAGGGAGAAGAGAAACATTGGAATACTACTCAGTACCAGTGTGAAAAAGTGTATTTGCTTTGGAAGAATAAATCACCTCTAATGTTGGGTGTCCTACATGTGTGGATGTTGCGTTATATAAAACTAAATGCGGTGCCCTTTTAAAATGGACAGCCTTGAGGCACCCCCATTTTAGAATAGGTTTTAGAATGGGATGCCTCAAGACTCAAATATCATATACCATGCAGCGCTTAAGTTATTCAACAATATCCTCAAAATGTGCTTAAATATTGTCTGTTTAGCCAAAATGATTCACGTAATAAATGAATATTCAACAATAATACAGTTAGGTGATGAGTCGTGACAGTCTCTTAGATATTTAAATCATAGTATGGTGACTTCGGTGATAAATATAGCTGTAGAATGTACTAACCAGATAGCGCTTAATATTGCGCATTTAATAGATGTTATTAGGTCATCTGGGGTTGGGCATCCAGAACACAGATTTGTTGAAGAACGCCACCAGAAATAGTAGTATTTCAGCCAATATATCCAGGTTATGCGATCCAGATCCACCAGGGGGAGCCAGCGGTCTAGATGCCATCCAGGATCCAAGGCTCAAAAAACACAAATGAATATCAGATGGGTGCAATCTCCCAGAGGGTGCCAGTGATTAATGTGTCATCCCAGGGGGTGCGGCCATTGTACTTAGTAGCAGAGTTTGGCTGTTTCTCACCCAGTTTTACGCTTCCTACAAAGCTGTTTCAATTAATGATTGTGTTGCAGCCTTTCAGCTCTCCAGACAGGACTTGTCTGATCCCCAGGCCTTTTTTAAATGTATTTTTTTTTTTTTACCTAGAGTATCAGTTTTGCTTCATGTGAAATAGCAGTTGTGTCCTTTTAAAGTAGGACAGCTTTAAATCCCGCAGATCGTGAAGTATGGGTAACGTTGAGTACGGCACGTAGTCATAAACACTCCTGCTGACAGGTTGGGTTCATGAGCCTGGCTAAGAGATGCTGGCAGGGGCCTATTAGCAGGACCTAGTTTCTGAAGAAGAGGCATCCTCTAGTACATGGTATTCTCATTTATTTCACTGCCTGCTAGAGGGAATGTAGGAATTGAATTCCCTAAAGCACAAGGTGTGTGTGTGGGCCTGATCTCCCAGATGCCGCTGAAACACATATTTCCTCTTTATTTGTATTCCCCTCTTCCTTATCCACTGTAAGCAGCTGTACTTATTGCTTGTGTGTTTGAATAATGCTTGCCGAACCTCCCACTGAACAATAGACTGCTCAGTAATCGTACAAAGCAGCCGGATTTACGGGACGCAGGTCGGGGTAATGCAAGGCCATGCCATGCGTCACTCCAGGGCCGGCATTATCTGTTGGGGTGTTTAGAAACTTTTTACAGAGAAACATGAAACATACAGCTTTGTTACGCCGGCCAATTTGTAATTTATGGTTTGAAGCAGGGCCATTCCATTTCAATCTGCAGCCAGCTACGCTTTTCTAAAATAACAAGAAAATAAACATTTTTCTTCCTGACAACCACGGCGGCCGTTATGTGTGCAAAACAAATCTCATCTCACCGCAGCGCTCGTGGCTTCTCTCAGATGTATGCACAGAGCTTGCAGTCACATTACAGACATTTCCCACAATGGTGGCGCCATCTTTAGTGAAGTATTTAAAGCGTAAACTAGAATAATAAATTGTTCTTATTTGGTCCCATTAAGTATTTTGTCATATCTGTTTGACAAGTGCAAAAAAAACTAGCTGTTCATCCAGCCAGAGATCTTGTGAGATGAATGTACTCTCTGCCTCTGGACTGTTATCAGTTAGGATTGTTTTCTGCTATCACAGTGCAACACAAAGCACCTTCATCTGTTATGGAGAGGAGAGGGAGGTGTTGTGTAGTTCTAACACACACTCCCTGTCCTAGGCTGACTGACAACACTGCTCAGTACAGTTGTTACCCTAGGACAGGAGGTGCCAGAATTACCAGGTTCAAATTAAAGTAAAACTATAGACCTGGCAGAACTAGGGTTGTCTGTTCAAAATCCCAGCCACGGCACCATCTGCCTGGAGTTTGCACGTTCTCCCTGTGCCCGTGTGGATTTCCTTTGGGTACTCTGGTTTCCTCCCACGCTCCAAAGACATGCTGGTAGGTTAATTGGAAAAAACACAAGGGGGCACCAACCTAAGTGCAGTATGTATAAAAAGGTTTATTGTTAAAATTAGCCAAATAGCTACTCACAAAGAAGCAATGTAATAAGGAGTTGATAATATGTCCTCAGGGGGGCCAGTATAGGGGCTGATGGTGTCCAATGATGCCCGGGTCCCAGGAAGTGTGTGGTGGACTGTCGGCAGTGGATGCCATGACAGGCACCTTTAACCAGCATGGAACGCACAGAAGTCCAGAACCAGAGGGCAACCAGAGGTCTGAAGAAACAGCCCCATCCTTGCATCCCTATTGGTTGCCCTCTGGTTCCAGACTTCCTCTCTCCTGGGACCCGGGCATCACTGGACACCATCAGCCCCTATACTAGCCCCCCTGAGGACATATTATCAACGCCTTATTACATTGCTTCTTTGTGAGTAGCTATTTGGCTAATTTTAACAATAAACAGTTTTATATATACTGCACTTAGGTTGGCGCCCCCTTTTGTTTACCTTATGTTCCTACACAGTCCGCTTCACTCTATGGAGAGCTGCTACCGCTAGTACTAATACCGTGGACTTTATGGACCGATTTTATGTTTCTTATTCATGTGTTTTATTAATTTATCTTTTAAGACCACTTGGTTATTATCTCCTCTCAGCGACAAATTCCTCCACTATTTAGGTTAATTGGATCCTGTCTAAATTGTCCCTAGTATGTGTATGTATGAATGTAAGTTAGGGACCTTAGATTGTACACCCCTTGAGGGTTAGGGACTGATGTGAATGTTCAATATGTATGTAAAGCGCTGAGTGAATTGACGGCGCTATATAAATACCTGAAATAAATAAATAGGCAAAACCTTTTTTTTGTTTTGGATAGAGATAGGGTTATAACCCCTATGCCATTTTGTTTCACCATGTGTGTCCCATTTGGGAGATTTCTCTTTACTTCCTGTCCCATATCCAAACAGAAAGTGAGAGGAAGTGTGTGTATGTATGTATGTATGTATGTATTTGTGTATATGTGTATATATATATATATATAATATATATAGTACATTCACATCTGTCCCTATCCCTCAAGGGGTGTACAATCTAAGGTCACAGCGGAGTTCCTTTGCTTGCATGGACATTCTACTACAGACACACATACTGGACTGATATGAGTTTCGTTTTTGTTTTATGAGCACTGCACTTGAGTTAGATTTTACTTTAAAGACTCTTATGCCTCGTACACAATAAAGAAAATCGTACGAACATTTTTGTACGAGGACCGATCGCCCCGATAATCGGATCGTTAGTACACAGCTTTTGAGAGCCGATCACGACAATTCGTACGACAATATCCGAAGGGACAAGTGCAAAAATTTTTTCTCGTACGATACCAGATCGTACGATTTTCGTTTAATCAGTACAGTAGTCGTCTGATAATACAATACAAATACACCGCAATACATGACATCACTTTCGAAATTCTTTTCTTTCATAGGAGAATTTTCATGTCTTTAGTAACTTCTTCACTTTCGATGTGAGACTAGCAGGCGAAAAAAAAACGGCTGAACGTTCGTCCGATATTCTCATCGTGTGTACGGGGCATTACTTAAATGATGTAGTCAATAATATTTTTTTTTCTTAGACCTTTTTCACAAGGGCGTACTTAAAGGAGTTCCACCCAGAAGTGGTGGAAGCTTTGCTTTTCTGCCTCCTGACCCCCCCACTGCCACATCTGGCACCTTTTGGGGGTAAGGGGGGGAGTAGGTACCTGCTCTAACTTCTGGCTGAGTTTGCACAGTAGGAAACCGGCGGTGAAGCTGCAAGATGGTGGTGCCAGCACGTGACAGCCAATTGAAGAATCAGCTCTTGGTGAGGACACCGCCGGATGCATGGACAGGTAAGTTCCCTACTATTAAAAATCAGCAGCCACAGTACTTGTAGCTCCAGACTTTTAATATTGTTTGGGGGGAGGTAGTGGGGGCCAGAACTCCACTTTAAGTGTAAAACTATGGGAAGGGCCATGTTTGTCCTCATGGGATGCCCAAGTGTTCCATGCATCCACATGCAGAAAGTCCTATTCCTGTGTGGGTGCAACACTCTGTGTTCAGAGACATGGGTATAAAATCGGGAGAAGCGGCTGTGTCCATACATCTGCTGTATCCCAGTTGACATGAATTCGACTAAACCCCCTCCCCTCCCCCCCACTTACCTTTTACTGTTCTGCAGAGTTAGGATACTTGCCTAGCCAGCAGATCCAGAGTTGAGCTGCTGGGATCCTCCTCTCTGGAGCCTCTGCATGAGCGCTGTACCTGTCACAGCTGCCGGCCCTTTTGGGTGTAACTTTCACTAGGCCCACCCCCCTCTTCCTTACTAAATGGGACTCCACATCATGCATCCCAGGATGCACAGCAGGCACCTAGTCGTTCACCAAGGTGAAATGGTGGAAGTTGGGGGGTGGCAAGCCAAGCCTTTCAAGCAAAAAACAGTAAAAAAAAAAAAAGAAGGGAGAACCCGATATCAGCTCTATGGAACGGGGTGGATGGAGAGGAAGAAAGTTCTACGGGTGGGTGAAGGTCCACTTTAAAATGAAAGTAAGTCTTTTTTTAAACTTGTACCTAGTGGTAAGCCTATACTAAAGCTTACCTGTAGGTACATCGAATATTTCCTGAACTTGCACTGTTTAGGAGATGATCACACTGCATGCAGCCGGTGACTGAAGAGGCAGGATACCTGTGCCCGTCCCTGCAGTGTTCTGTGTCATGGCCAAAACTCCCACATGCATGCAATGACCGCAGTACAGTGACGGCATGCCGCTGGAGGGCTTCATTCTTAGGTTAGCATTTCATATCATGCTAGTATGTGATGCACACAAGCACATTATGCCGTCATCTTGCAGGGTTTTTTTTTTTTTTTTTTTTTTTTTAAAGGCCACGGTTTACTACTGCTTTAAGTATGCTCATGTGAACAAGACTTTATGGTAAATGTGCTCTTGAATCTTTCTGGTGTGACTAAATGCAACTAAAAAGAATTATGGATTACAGAGACTCCCTATAAGAGATCTATGTGGTGAACTTTATCCTCTTTTTCACTCTGCTACACCTTGGTGGAAGATACTTCATTTAATATAAATTATTTATTTATTATTATTTATTTCAGGTACTTTTATAGCGCTGTCAATTTACGCACCACTTTACATACTGTATATATTGTACATTCACATCAGTCCCTAACCCTCAAGGAGCGTACAATCTAAAGTCCCTAATTCACATTCATACATACACATATTAGGGCCAATTTAGACCGGATCCAATTAACCTACCAGCATGTCTTTGGAGTGTGGGAGGAAACCGGAGTACCCGGAGGAAACCCACGCGAGCACAGGGAGAACATGCAAACTCCATGCAGGAGGCGCCATGGTCAGGAATCAAACCCATGGCCCATTTACTGCACGGCAGACGTGCTAACCACTAAGCCACTTTGCCGCCCCTAAATTAATTCATTATTTTTCTTATTTCTATTATCATGTGTTGGCCTATTGCTATGATCATATGGAGTGAAGTGCTGATTTTATGAGGATTTCTTTGTCACTCATATCATTTATCTCAACTAAAAAGAATGTTCAAAAAAAGATGTACCTGCAAATTCAAAAGTAAATAGTCACCTCTTGCTGCCTGCAGCACCAAGCACCGCTCTGATGAAGTGAAGTCACCCTCCATCAAAAACCAACACTTTCTGAAATGATGACTTCTGTGCCCACGGGACACTCAGTATTCATCCCACCGACCTCTTCATCACAACCGTGTACAAGAGATTACCGATTCAGGAAGGATGATTCACGGGGTGATTTCTCTTCATCAGACTATTGTTGGTGGCCCTGGCACTGGGAGAGGTGAGTATATACCTTCTAGTTAGCAGGTACATCTTTTATTTCAACATTCTTTTTTTAGCTTTAATGAAGACCTAAAGCCTGCTTCTTCCTAACTGACCAGGTTTGGCCTCTCTCGGGTACTGACAAGCCAATGCCTCTTGGCCATTACCATGTCACCAGAGAAAGTCATTAGCAGCTTGCAGATTGCAGATAGTCCGTAATCGGGTTTATTGATGATAAGATTATTACTTCTCTAACAAATACTTTTTTTTTTTTTTTTTAATACAGATCCTCCTGACTGGGTCCCGGATGAAGCTTGCAGTTTGTGCACTGCGTGCAAAGCTCCTTTCACAGTGATACGCAGGAAGCATCATTGCCGCAGCTGTGGCAAGGTAATTTTCTGTTTGCCATAGACCATGCATCTCCATGCATTTTTAAAGGGCTTTTGTCCTTTGACAGATAAAACCAGCAGAATGCAGCAACATGCATACAAAGCTATGGGATTGATGTATAAAACTGAAGGAAAGGAAATGATATCTCCTGTGGCAACCAAACACGCACTAATCATTTTTTTTGCTCAGATTAGAAAGAACACTTTATTGCATGGTTGGTTGAATAGGTTAGATGTTCTAAAGAACCCATTGTCAGTTCCTGTTTGCTCCTCTCAGGTAAGTTGCAGTCAAAGTAAACCTTTCATGCTGTTTAGCCCCTTTGCACCTCAGTAACACAGATGTGCGCCAACAAAAAGGTGGGCTTTAACAATCATGCTGCACATATGTGTCACTGGGCGAGCAATGTTGATGTGCTGGGAGTGTGCTTTTCTGTCACCTTTCCTCACCATGAAACAGCGATAACCCTGATACCCTACATCAGTGGTCCCCAAACTACGGCCTGGGGCCAGATGTGACCCACTGCTTGCTTTTATCTGTCCCTCAGGGCATTGTTCATCCCACTGATATGAGACACTATTCTGCCCACTGAAAATAACAATAGAACAGAATTCCTTCCACAGACCTAAACAACGGGGCACTATTTCTCCCATTGACACCAATGATGTGATATTATTTCTATTATTGACACCATTGATGGGGCAATATTCCTCCCATTGATACCAATGATGGGGCACTATTTCTCCCATTGACACCAGTGATGGGGCACTATTTCTCCCATTGACACCAATGATGGGGCACTGTCTCTCCCATTGACACCAATGATGGGGCACTGTTTCTCCCATTGACACCAATGATGGGGCACTGTTTCTCCCATTGATACCAATGATGGGGCACTATTTCTCCCATTGACACCAGTGATGGGGCACTATTTCTCCCATTGACACCAGCGATGGGGCACTATTTCTCCCATTGACACCAATGATGGAGCACTATTTTTCCCATTGACACCAATGATGGGGCACTATTTTTTTCCCATTGACACCAATGATGGGCACTATTTTTCCCATTGATACCAATGATGGGGCACTATTTTTCCCATTGATACCAATGATGGGGCAGTATTTCTCCAATGGACACCAATGATGGGGCACTATTCCTTCCCCTAGTACCAAAGATGGGGCACTGTTTACTCCCACTGATGGCAGGAATATTTCTACTCCCGCTGGCCTCCTGAAGGATAATAAACTGGCCCTTTGTTTAAAAAGTTGAGACCCCTGCCCTATATTTTACATGTTTTTAAAGCCCCTACAGGTCATCCGTTTAGAGCTACTTGTGAATAAAGACCCTAGAATTATTGATATCACTGGGCATTGTGATATGTAACATGTATAGCACAATCAACCTTTTCGTGTGTAGGCACCCCAATGCGTGTTTATCTGTGGGGATGGGCTCACAATTTTTTGTCACTAGCTTGTACACGAGGTTGCAGGGCACAATCAGAGCAGCCATATTCACTTTATAAGCAACAGGGGGTATAACTCCTGTCATGGCTGCAAAGCATTGCAGGCACAGCATGTTGTGCACCCCTGGTCACTGCCTATGCAGCTAAAGAGGGGGTGCAGTTTAAGGTGGTAAAAATGCAGCTCAACCATTGTGTTTTACTGCCCCTCAACCACTTGTGTGAACGAGCCCTAAAGGGTTTAATGGTTATTGTGAAGTTGAAGCCCACACTTTGTATGGGAAATGATTTTATGATGGGTTGGATTAACCCTTTAAACATCCAGTGTATGAGGGCCCTGGGAAGGTTCAAACTCCTTTAATGCTCCTGCCATGAAGAAGTTGTGCTGCAGAAAATGACAGCGGGCCCGTGTAATAATCCTGTATAAATCACACCCGCTCTCCTGCCTCCTTCACTGCACTTCCGCATATATTTTCCAGACATTAAAGCCGTACTGAATCATGAAACCATTACCAGGCCCCGGTGAGACTTGACTGCATGTAAAACAAAGGGTAATTTGATAGAAATTGAATGTAAAGATGTTGAATCATGCCGCTACATCTCATTATTTACATTTTTATTCTGTGCTTGTACAATCCCAGTTGCTGCAAGGTCATCAGAAAGGCGCCAGCCACAGTGTGTAACGCATAGGTCTGCAGTAGGTGCAGGCGATCAGAGCGGTGTGGATGTGTATATGAACATGCATGGTCCAGTCATGCTATGCTTCATGTATGAAATTGTCTGTCTCTGGCAGCCAACCACATCGTGCCTTTTGTCCTGTCTCCTCCAGAGGTAGAATGAAAGAATAATATGATTGGAGGAAACTGTAACAGAGTGGTTGATACTTTGGTACATGATGTTCAGTGTTTGCATTTGGGTTGTTGCCTTGGTTAGTATTATTATTATATATATTATTATTATTATACAGTATATAGCGCCAAAAAGTTTGCTCAGCGCTGTACATTATAGTGGGGGAGAGTACATGAGACAATACAGTAACAATACAATACACGAGGGGTTCGAGGGCCCTGCTCCTTGGAGCTTACAATCTAGGAGGGAGGGGATAGTGGTACAGGAGGAAATGGCTATGGGGGATGGAGTGGTAGGAGGAGTGGAGGAGATCGGCTGTTAGGTGAGGTTGGGGTAGGCTTCCCTGAAGAGATGGGTTTTCAGGGTGCGCTTAAAGGTGAGGAGGGTAGGTGACAGTCTGATGGATTGGGGTAATGAGTTCCAGAGGATGGGGGAAGACCTGGAGAAGTCCTGGAGTCGGGCATGGGAGGAGGAGACCAGGGAACTGGAGAGTAGGAGGTTTTGTGAGAAGCGAAGAGTACGGGTTGGGTGGTATTTGGATATCAGGTCGGTGAGGTAGTTTGGGGCATTATTATGAATGGCTTTGTACGTCAATGTTAGTAGTTTGAATTTTATACGTTGGGCAACTGGAAGCCAGTGGAGGGAATGACAGAGGGGGGTGGCGGATACGGAGCGGTTGGTAGGGCGGACAAGTCTGGCCACTGAGTTCAGGATAGACTGAAGCGGGGATAGCCTGTGTTGGGGTAGGCCGGTGAGGAGGGAGTTGCAGTAGTCGAGTCATGAGATAAGGGAGTGAACGAGTTGTTTAGTAGTGTCTGGGGTTAGGAACGTACGTATTTTGGAGATGTTGCGGAGGTGGAGCCTGCATGAATTTGCCAGTGATTGGACATGGGGTTGGAAGGACAGATTGGAGTCTAGAGTGACATCTAGGACTTTGGCTTGCGGGGTGGGACTGATGATGGCGTTATTGGTTGTGATGGAGAGGTTAGGGGGGGGGAGCGCAGGCTGGGGGGAAAACTAGGAGCTCGGTTTTGGAAAGGTTTAATTTGAGGAAGTGGAGTGACATCCAATCTGATATGTTGTTTCAGTAGGCAGGTGATACGGGCGGAGACTGAAGGGGTGAGGCGAGGGATTTAGTAAAAAAATGAGCAGTCACAATTCAGGCTACAAGTCAATGCTCAAGGGTTTAGGCACTTCACATGCATAGCCACATCTCCATGATCTGGCTGGACATTTAGTGGCTCTTCCAAATTTTTGGATGAGGTGAAATTTGGGGGGGGGGGGGGGTCTGAATGGAATAGGCCACCCCCAACCTCATATCTACTGTCCTATAGTTGCAGTTTCTTAACGGAATAAAGACTGCAGACAAATGTGAGTGACTAAACTAATTCTACTTTCACACCGATCTGCTGCAAAAAACGCATGTGTTTTTGCCAAGCTTTTGTGGCGTTTTTTTTTAAAGGACATGTGCCTTAAAAACTGCACCAAAAATTCATTCTTGAGGCTCCAAAGATGTTGCAAGCATGTTTTTACACTGCAGTGGAAGCACAATGCCCCAGTGTGAAAACATACATAGACGTACATAGGGAAGCATTTTTCTTGTGCTTTTCAGGTGCTTTTTTCTGTATGGAATATGCATATTTAGATTGGTCCAAGCTTAATCAGTGTAACCGGGATTTTTTTTCCAGCAGGAATGTGGGGGGAATGCAGTTCTAGCACCTTCAGCACTGGCTGTATGTATTGACAAGGAATTTGGGGTGTGCTGGAGGGTCTATTAATGCTTGCTGCTAGGGGAGCTGTTGTTGCTAGGGGGTCTTATGTTTCTGGGGAGTCATTTGTTGTTGGGAAATAACTACTGTTGATGAAGGGGGTCTATTATGGCTGGCTGCTGGAGGGTTTGTAGATCTGTAGTTACTGCGAGGGGTCTATTGTTGCTGGAGAGTCTGTTGTTGGGAGAGGGGTCTGTTGTTGCTGGGGGATCTATTGTTGCTGGGGGGGGGTCTGTTGTGGGGGGGGGGGGGGCGGCAGAGGGAGCCTGTTGTTGCCAGGGGATCTGTTATTGCTGGGGGATCTATTGTTGTCAGGGGGTCTATTGTTGCTGGCTGCAGGGGATCTATTTTACTGTTGTTCTTCTTATTAACAAACATGAGAGCACAATGTGATCCATTTTCCAGCTGTGCTGGGAACTCATTCTGCTCTCCTCCATTTATTAGACTTGTGCTGACATGCCCCCCTCACAGCCATTCACTGGGAAGTTCAGTGTACTGCTGTTCCTCCTTCTCCAGCTCTCTGAGATCCTTATCTTATGCACCTGAGAACAGAGGGTATGTGATCATTTATAAAAAAAAAGGGGGAAAGGAAAAGGGTATTTATAATGTTTTTAATATCTATACACAAATGTTTTACCTTTCATTTCTATTTTAAACTGAATGGCTGTTTTATACAGTGAGGGTTCACCTATACTTTAAATCAGATCTAAACCCAAAAACTAAAGCAGACCAGAGAAGCAGAAGTTTTTTTTTTTTCAGAATGTTCACTCGAACTTCTAATGGTTAGTGGAGTCCAATCAACATGCATTTCCAGCTGTTCTGAGTGTTTCTTCTCAGGAAAAATTGAACATAATATAATGATACTGCTATAATGTCTGAGATTCCATTCAATTAGGGGATCTGGATAAAATTTGAAGGGCTTTTGAACTATATTGGTTGACACAATGATGGCAAGAAAGGATTCTGTAAGGAATGATTTTTCAGCATTACGTACAATTGTTTAAAATAAAGTCTTCTGGTGTATGGATAACTTTAACTCTCTCAGAAGATTGAACGTGTCATTTCAAAAGCTGTTTTAGTTTTGTGGGGTTTTTTTCATCCTACTAATTGTGCCCCCCAATAGAGACAACAGGTGGCTGTGCTCAGGCCTGCTCCACCATTGTTGGTATCAGGAAGCCAGTCCAGGGTGATGACGTAGAGCTGATGCTGGAGGGCAAATGTTTTTTTTTTCAGAAAACCTTTAAATTGGAGCTCTATAAGGTGGTTAATATAGACTCCTCCAACATTGAGTGCATAAGCATGAAGTCTTAGGCAGGCCATAGATGATACAATTTTCTTTCCTTCTGCACTGGTAGAAGGAAAGAAAATCGCTTGATTCTTCTATCAACACATTCAGTGTTGATGTGGGGATCCCTTCTGCAGTGCTATTGTGTTCAGTCGGTGAGGAGCCTTCCTGGACGGCAGAACACAGTGATCGCTGCTAGTGGTTATAGCCGCCGGCAGTGATCACATGCAAAAAAAAATCCAACAGGCTGGTTGTACTAAAGTCAATCAATGGATCAGCTTAGGTACAACCTGCCTGCCCAGGGATAGATTCGATCCATCTATGGCTGACTTCAACCGTCTCCTGTGGTCTGAAATTTGGATGTTATTTGGGCAAGTCAGCCCTCGCACATTCCTGCATCGCACCAATTGAAACACAAATATGACGTGCTAAATATTACGGATGCTCTGATATCGGAATCGTTGCCGATACCAAGTATCTCGTGAAAATGCTCCCGATACCGGAAACCGATACTTTGCAGTGCGATTTGCATCTATACAAATTGCACCTCAAAGATTAGCATGAGATTTGAACAGGAATGTGATTCCTGTCCTAATCACATGCGGTTTCCCCCCACCACTCCTGCGTGAACCCTTGCGATTCCTGTCCTAATCACATGCGGTTTCCCCACCACTCCTGCGTAAACCCTTGCGATTCCTGTCCTAATCACATGCGGTTTCCCCACCACTCCTGTGTGAACCCTTGCCATAGCCTGAGTTCACGCAGGAGCAGTGCAGGAAACCTCCCTGCAGGCATCCCATGCTGAGCGGATACTATATATACTATGGAGGCAATTGCTCCATATTCTCAGCGGTAGAAGTGTTTTCAAATCCCAGCGGCTTTCTCTCCTCTCCTTGCAGGAATGACAGTTCAGGCTAGAGGGCTTTTGATTGATCAGCACCGTCACATGGATGCCATCTAGCCTGTATTATCATTGCTGCAAGGAGAGGAGAGAAAGCCGCTGGGATTTCAAATCCGCAGACCTGGGAAGCGGCTTTCCCTCCTCGCAGCGATGACAGTTTTTCTTTCCTCTCCTACCGCTGAGAAGATGGAACATCTGCCTCCATAGTATACATCCACACGCGGCCACTCTCCGCTCAGTATGGGATACCTGCAGGGAGGTTTCCTGCACTGCTCCTGTGTAAACTCAATGACAAGGGTGCACACAGGAGCAATGGGGAAACCACATGCAATTTGGACAGGAATCTCATTCCTGTTCAAATCGGATGTAATTCTTTGCGGTGCAGTTTGCATCCATACATTTAACCCCTTTGCGCCGGTGCATCTCAGCCCTTTAAGAGGTTTCAGGAGACAGGGCAGGGTTTTATGGTCATGGACGTGAATCACGGCGGTCACATGCTCGCAAAAGGTCCCGATCGCAAGGGGAGATCGGGACATTTCCGTGAGTCACATACATATTATTATTTATTTATTTCAGGTACTTATATAGCGCCGTCCATTTACGCAGCACTTTATACACACACACACACACACACACACACTAACACACTAACACACTAACACTATATTCACATTAGTCCCTAACCCTCAAGGGGTGTACAATCTAAGGTCCCTAACTCACATTCATACATACACATACCAGGGACAATTTACATAGGAGCCAATTAACCTACCAGCATATGTGCTGGGAGTGCGCACTTTCAGCACATGTGTATTTTCAAATGGTACGCAAATATGCGGCCGCTCGGCGTCAAGGCCCAGATACTGAGAGGCCACATATTTGTGTATGCTCGGCGTCCAGGGGTTAAGCACTGAGCAAACTGTTGGCGCTATATAAATCCTGTATAATAATGATGCAAATCACAACTCAAAGTATTGGTACTCGGCCATAAAAAAAGGGTATCCGTGTATCCCTACTAGATATTCTTGTTTTTATGTATATATAGGTAAGTATAACTGCAAATGTATCAACTGCAGGACTGCCAGCTAAGAACCATCAATGTAAGGGTTAGCAGTGTTGTATAGATTGGCAGGCTAAAGTGCCCACCTTAATTCCAGCTTGTAACCAGACATGGAGGTCTTTGCCCCGTCTTCCCCCACTGCCAGTTCTTCCTTGCTACCAACTATAGTTTCCTGTAGCCAACGTACTGTATTGTGACCCGGTATATTTTCTTACGCATTTCTTTCCTCTCTTCCAGATCTTCTGTTCCCGCTGCTCTTCCCACTCTGCCCCACTACCGCGATACGGGCAGATGAAACCAGTCCGCGTCTGCACACACTGTTATATGTTCCACGTCACTCCTTTCTACAGCGACAAAGCTGCAATCTGATGTCCTGGCGCCCCCCCTCCACCTCGCAGGCAGACAGCTCCTAAGTCTTGTTGCTTTTGACCCAGGCCAAGAATTACTCTTGAGAAAAGGACTTTGCTGGAGGCATGCTGGTTTTCATTTAAAAACTTCTGAATGCCTGTACAGAGAAGTTTGATTATGTTTTTTGTTTTTTTTTTTTCCTTTATTTCTTAAGCTGCTAAAGAAAAGGATGAAATGTCTGTGGCTCCCAGCTTCAGTACAGTCTTCCACATGTTTTGGTTCTGACATGACAGACACCATGACACCATAACGCTTTGAAGATCCTCACTACATCACTGATTACTTACATGGTAAAGATTACCAGATTGATTGTAGCATCTGTCACAGCACACGGCTCTGAGGCACGGCTGCACATCTGTGCGCTCGGGAACGCTGCCGTCACCTGCACAGTTACGCTTCCATTGTACCTTTGTCTCCCTTTTATTCAAGGGAAAGCAAACTGAGCAGAAGAAGAGTTGTTTTGTGTTCCAGAAGAGAAAAGACGGTGTGTGTACAGAGCAATATTTCAGTGTCAGGAAGAGGAGGGCTTAAAGATGTTTATTGCGTAATTTTCTGCATTTTAATTTATATAGTTAAAGGTAAACTCCTCTCAAAACTGATAATTCAGTATTGCACTTTTTTACAAAAACATACTTCTGGTATATTTCAGGGACTTTGTGGGGAATATGAGATATCTTCCCCCTCAGAAATCCCAACTAATATAGCCATTGCAAGGCTAGATTGTGGTACTGTAGACCGTCCATGGACACTCCATATCATTGGTGATCTACCAGTTAGAATTTGGGAGCTTCATGTGCGACCCCAGTTGAAGTTGCAGGGCCAAGCACTTTGGAGCTCCTCCTAAGTTAAAACCATAGCCCTCCCTTCTTCATTTACTGCAGTCTCCCCTCAAACAATTAAGTCAGCAGCAAATACTGTAGCTGCTGACTTTTAATGTAAGGACACTTACCTGTCCAGGGATCCAGCGATGTCCTCACCCGAGCCGATTCTCCAGTCGGCTTCAGGTGCAGGCGCCGTCATCTTAGGTAAGGGAAACCAGCAGTAAAGCCTTCCAGTATCACATCCGGATTCCAGCTGCGCATGTGCGAGTCAAGCTGCACTTTGTAAATGGTCCCGCAGTCTTCTGGGACCGGTTATGTGTCCCAGTAGGGGGACTGAGGAGGGGGCCAAAACTTCCGCAGAGATTGCCACCGTGATCTGACCGGAAGTGGGAAGCAGGTATCTGTCAAAACCATGTATCCGCTCCCTGCTTTCCCCCATAAAGTGCCAAAGAGGGCAGTGGAGGGAGGAGGATGTAAACAAGCAGAAATTCCCCTTTAGGGTGAAGTTCTACTTTAGGACTACCGTGGACATAGGGCCCTAAGCCCTTCTGTATACAGCCCAACACAGACTTCACATCAGACCTCAATGAGATAGGCTCTCCAATATCAGAAACTTTGAAGCTGCACCTGGAGTGGGCTTCAGGATATGTACTTGGTTAAAATATCTGTATTGGGGACATAAAGTGGATAGGCAAGGACAGCAAATGGGTTGGTTGCACTACAATTATACATCTTTATTCTGTTTATTCAGCAGTTAATTGGGAGCCTTTCTGCAGTGCAGTAAGACTGTGTTTCCATTAAACAGCTGATCCCCCTTCTTCCATTGACGTATCTCCCTGTGTAAGGAGAACTTGAAAGTGAATACTGAACCTTTTGTGGGCCTCTTTAGTCCATTAGTGAGGTTTGAGAAGAAAAGCGTGGTAGGCTGTACCTCTGCAGAGCACATGCTACGCCTCTACACCTGGCTCCCTCAGCTAGACATTGCTGTATTTGCATTCATGTGTCACTAGATCCAGATGCTGACAGCACAATCCCAGTCATTTCTAAAGTTCTTATGTCCTCCTCTCCATTCTTATAGAAATTCAAGGATAAAAGTGGAAAATACATTTGGCCAACATGGTCAGATTGTTTATCATAACAGCTAGGAGGTACACCAAGGGAGTATGGAGGACTATCTGTCGACAGGAGTGACTGGGACCTTGTTAGGTCTGCTACAGTGAAACCTCACCAACGGAGCGTCTGCGAATGGGAGTCATGCCACCCATGCTTACCAAAATGTGATTTATTAGTTTTTGGTGGAGTTGTCCTTTAATACATAGCAATAATTTTATTTTTTTTTAAATACATATACATATTTAGCTGCTGAAAACAAGACACCTCAAAACCTTTTATTTTAACTGGAAAAAATATTACCTATAATGGCCAGACATGAATCCTGTGATGGGGGGGACTTGGTGTAGTTTTCACATGTGGAGCTAAAAGTTCCTGCAGTACTTCCAGAATGGTTTCACAACAGAAGAGACTAGAAGGGTAATCCAAGTACTGATCTACAGCCAAGGATAGGACCAACTGGAACTGTCATTTCATGGCTTCAGCAGGGCTCAATCACCCCCTACCAGCTGGTTATATCGTTTTCTGTTAGTAGGATCTCCACTCTGCCCACCTACAATAGGGGGAGGTTCTTTCTGCTGTATTTGCATATATTTTACAATAAGAATGTCCATGTTTGGTTTCTTAATGTCTGTTGCTGTCATTTAAATTACAGTGCAGAGTTTTCATGGCTGGCATCTTTGGAGATACGAGAAGCCACTCACTAGTAGTCTGACATATTCAATTAAAATAAAATAAAACTTTCCATTCTGGGTGGATACATCTTTAAAAGATTAAATAGAATTTTAACAGTGGGGTATGAAAAAAGTTAAGGTAAAACAGTTACTCTGTAAAGTAGAGTGTTAAAGTGTAACTCCATCTGAGATATGAATCACCAAATATACTTTTCTGGAGTGTTTCTGGGATCCTCTCTATGAAATTTCCTGATCCCTGAATGGCAGCCTTTAATTTGTCTGTTATTAGAAAATCCCACCGCTATACCTTCCTAAAGAAGTCACAAACATCCCCCGACAGTGATTTGCACTCCATTTGGTCACCAGTGAGAAAAATAGCCATGTGGATGGATAGGCACATCCAGCCTGCAGCAAGCATGCCTCAAGACTGCTAAAGCCTGAAGGAACTTGTAATCCTATTTTTTAAATTGATGATCCATCTTACCTTCAGGCTCTTCCATTTGGCCATTCTTATTGCCAAGAAGTGATTTTAGCACCTTTAAAACAGCAGCAGGCCAGTATCTAAAAAAAAAAGTTGACTAAAATCTGTGCTATCCTCGATTCACACCAGGTTCGGCTTTGAAAGTGCTCTACTTCAGCGCAATTTCAAAGCCGCTAATCAGTGCGGCTTGCCAACATCTGTGCAACTTCATACACGGATGTCATTGCAAGTCGCACATAATAGATGGAGTTTCAATTTGCCATTATGATATTTTTATAGTTTACATTACACATGTTGGAACTAGCAGTCCACCCACAACTTTGCTGTTCTTTGGAACATTTTTGCACTCCATCACCCACTGTTTGTTGCAGCCAAGAGATCTCCGCACTGGATTTTCTAGATTTCACCCACGGTTGCCATTATACAATGCAGTAAATCCAGACCAGGGCAGGTGGTTGGAGCAGATGTAGAGATCCCACCGGAGCAGTCCTCTAGCAGTATAAAAAGTAATTCATTTCTGCTGACATTGAATTACCTTGAAGCACACTGCACGTGACTGATGTGTTGAATATTCACAAGGCGCAGTGCAGTCAAGTCACCTCTGTTAGTAGGTTTACCTTGTTTTCTTTATTTTGTGACCATATTCAGAAATATTAGGATTGCTTTCCTCTTGTTGGGTAGAAAGTTGCATAATCTACTGAACGCTCTCCTGTGAGCTGTAAGATTGGTCCAGCCATTCATGGACACAGCCCGTGTCTAGAGTTCCCTTGTGGCATTATGAATTCTTGTTGTGCCTTTTCTGGCCTAAGTGATATTTTGTGGTCTTCAGAAACAAGATGGCCATACACGCTTTGAATTTGGGCCAGTTCCTGCTGATGTGGCCATAATTCACACTGCGAGTGGCCCTGTCAGAACCCATTACATTCCAAAAAAAGGTGGAACATTATTGGCTGAACAATGCTTGCATCCAATCAGATGTAGGCTGCTAAATACAATAGCCAGCAGCGGGAGTTCCTCTATTCTCGCTGTTTAGCTGAAGACTCTATAGTATACATTAAGAATTTAATAGGCACTTTTGTCCCACCCTTCTGTCATATTATAGTCAGGCTGTTCTCACAGCTATTTATTGGTTTAGCTTGGAATTTTGAAGTTTAGGTGATACCTTTTATTGGCTAGCTTGGGATATCAGGACAACTTGGATCCCATTTCAGGGTTCATGCAGATGGGCACTCAGCCCAGTGCAGCGAATTGAACCATTTGTTTTTCCCACCACTGAGCTGCATGCAGGCAGCCCATAGTAGTGAATGAGTGTGCAAATACCCCCACAGCTTTGACAGGGATGAGTGGACAGACTCTGTGTCTGGCTCCGTGTACCCATCCCTGTAAAACCCGTGTGGGGGTGAATCCACACAGTGGGTGCATACCCATTCACTTTCTATGGGCTGCCTGCAAGCAAAAGATGCCAATGTGGAAAATTGTTCACCAAAGAGTATCTGAATCCAATGGGATGCAGTTTCTCTTTGGGTATTTGGCCACAGTTGCTGCAGATGTCTGAATACAACAGCCGGCAGGGGAGATTCCTCCACTCATACTGTTTTAGAATAGAATTGTTAGCTTTAGGTAGATATCAGATTTTAGAGATGATATTGGGGAAATTGACTCTGAGATAAGAAGTCCAGGCACAATTCTCACCTGAAATGAGTCCTTTTAAAGGCTTGGTTCACACCTATAGTGTGTCTCTGCAAAATGCACTAAAAAACACACAGTCCATTTAACATGGTTTCCTACGGGACACATTCACATCTATGCATTTTGAGCCTTTTGGAAAGGGTCCAGGACTTTTTTTTCCTGCAGCAGAATACATTTTTGGTGCAA